AAGACTGTAGTCTAGACTATAGACAAGACTGTAGTCTGGACTATAGTCTAGACTATAGACAAGACTGTAGTCTGGACTATAGTCTAGACTATAGACAAGACTATAGTCTAGTCCAGACAAGACTACAGTCTGGACTATAGACAAGACTATACTCTGGACTATAGACAAGACTACAGTTTGGACTATAGACAAGACTACAGTTTGGACTATAAGCAAGACTACAGTCTAGACTATAGACAAGACTGTAGTCTGGACTATAGTCTAAACCATAGTCTGGACTATAGACAAGACTATAGTCTGGACTATAGACAAGACTATAGTCTGGAATATAGACAAGACTATAGTCTGGACTATAGACAAGGCTATAGTCTGGACTATAGACAAGGCTAAAGTCTGAACTCTAGATAAGACCCTAGTCTGGGCTCTAGATAAGACTCTAGTCTGGACTATAGACAAGACTATAGTCTGGACTATAGACTAGGCTATAGTCTGGACTGTAGACAAGACTATAGCCTGGACTATAGACATGACTATTGTCTGGGCTATAGACAATACTATAGTCTGGACTATATACAATGGTATAGTCTGGAGTATAGACAAGACTATAGTCTGGGCTAAAGACAGTACTATAGTCTGGGCTATAGACAAGACTATAGTCTGGAATATAGTCTGGATTATAGTCTGGACTACATACAGCAGACAGGACATAGTCTGGACTATAGACAAGACTATAGTCTGAACTGTAGACAAGACTATAATCTGGACTATATACAGGACTATAGTCTGCACTATAGACAGGACTATAGTCTGGACTATAGACAGGACTATAGTCAATACTGTAGATAAGACTGTAGTCGAAAGAAATGTTGCAAAACATGTTGCTAGGAACTATAATTTATTATTGAATAAGAAGTTAAGAAATTAAAATTATTAAAATTGTATTGTAAAGAAATGTTGCCAAACATGTTGAAGCAACAAAATGTTAATGATAAAGTGATACTTCGAAATAGAAGATTTATGTAGAAGGTCTTAAACTTCTAGATAAAGGACAATTTAGGTCTAGGTCAACTTTTGAATAACTAGATTTCTAATGAAGTAAACGTAACTTTGCAAAAAAAACGTTTAGAAACATTGCTAGTTAATTGTTAGGGTTGGTGACGAATGAGTAATAAAAATATGTGCATAAACCCAGGAGGCGTATGAGTTATATTTAATTTTTTTTATTTAATTGCAACACAGCTTGATGTTAAGCTTTTATCATAAAACTAAAACTGCAAAAGTTTTATAATATGTTTTTAGGAAAGTGTAAAAACATGTCACTTCCTGTTTTAACATGTTTTTATTATGAATATTTTGCATAAATATACAACAGCCTACATTTTCATAAAGAATTTTCACATGAATATTTAGTGTTTTTAATGCAGATTGTTGTTTTTTTATTATTATTTTCTTAAATTTATTTCTGGCCCAGGCCAAAAATATTTTCTAAATTTGTAAGACTATGTTGCTGTTCTTTTACTCTAGCTTTATTTATTCTATTTTGTTTTTGTTGTTGTTGTGTGTGGCATGCAACACATTGTGAATATAAGTTGAAAGCAACTTATTATTGTGGCGTTAACATATTGTGTCGTAAATGCGTGGCGGCGGCGACAAACAAATTTTATGTTGCTTTTCTAAACTTAAACAAAATAAAATAAAAAAAATTAAATTGCTACAAAATTTTAAAATTTCTTTTTGCTCTAATGTTTTCAAATGCTATTTATTTTAGCAGTTGCTTTCATAGATTTTCTGATAATTTTATAAAATTTTTCTATCGAGTAATTTTACATTTCTCTTTCGTAATTTCGCAAAAAAAAATTCTCTAAAAAATCTCTAGTTAATTAGTTGAAAATTGAATTGAAGTTCAATGCACAACATTATCATTTTATCATTAAATGCTTTAACTGTAAAACACAAGGGTAATTTAATTTTAGACGCCCCTTTTATTTTTGCTAAGTTTTTGTAATTTTACCACATATTTGTTTTTGTTGCTTCTGTTTACTATTGTCTAGTATTCTATTTTGTTCGCAGCAAATTTTTTTTTTTACGAATTTACTGATAAAAACAAAATTTTTGTAGCTTTTACTTATTTTGCGCTTCTGTTGTTAAGGTGACATTTTAAGAAAGAAAATTGAAATAACAAATTTGTTTGAACAATAGAAATTCCTTATTGATTGTATAGAATTTATTAGATTTTTTTTTCAAAAGGTAAAAATAAGTGAAAGTTTTTTGATTTGAGAGAAAAGGGAGATTTTTTGTTATGTTTGAATTGCTTCTAACGAAATATATAACTTTTTTGTTCATATTTTTTTAAAAAGGAAGTTTTTAAAGTAAAACTTCTAAAAATCTGATGATTTTTATAGAAAACTTAGTATTTATTGTTAAATAACTTGATTTTTCACAAAATATTTAATAATATTTTAAGAGCTTAACTTCTTGTTGTTACAAATTAAGCAAATGTTCAGTTATAGATCCTCACCTAGAACTGAGCTAGAACCGAACTAGAACTGAACTAGAACTGAACTAGAACTGAACTAGAACTGAACTAGAACTGAACTAGAACTGAACTAGAACTGAACTAGAACTGAACTAGAACTGAACTAGAACTGAACTAGAACTGAACTAGAACTGAACTAGAACTGAACTAGAACTGAACTAGAACTGAACTAGAACTGAACTAGAACTGAACTAGAACTGAACTAGAACTGACTAGAACTGAACTAGAACTGAACTAGAACTGAACTAGAACTGAACTAGAACTGAACTAGAACTGAACTAGAACTGAACTAGAACTGAACTAGAACTGAACTAGAACTGAACTAGAACTGAACTAGAACTGAACTAGAACTGAACTAGAACTTAACTAGAACTGAACCAGAACTGAACTAGAACTGAACTAGAACTGAACTAGAACTGAACTAGAACTGAACTAGAACTGAACTAGAACTGAACTAGAACTGAACTAGAAGAACTGAACTAGAACTGAACTAGAACTGAACTAGAACTGAAACTAGAACTGAACTAGAACTGAACTAGAACTGAACTAGAACTGAACTAGAACTGAACTAGAACTGAACTAGAACTGAACTACTAGAACTGAACTAGAACTGAACTAGAACTGAACTAGAACTGAACTAGAACTGAACTAGAACTGAACTAGAACTGAACTAGAACTGAACTAGAACTGAACTAGAAACTGAACTAGAACTGAACTAGAACTGAACTAGAACTGAACTAGAACTGAACTAGAACTGAACTAGAACTGAACTAGAACTGAACTAGAACTGAACTAGAACTGAACTAGAACTGAACTAGAACTGAACTAGAACTGAACTAGAACTGAACTAGAACTGAACTAGAACTGACTAGAACTGAACTAGAACTGAACTAGAACTGAACTAGAACTGAACTAGAACTGAACTAGAACTGAACTAGAACTGAACTAGAACTGAACTAGAACTGAACTAGAACTGAACTAGAACTGAACTAGAACTGAACTAGAACTGAACTAGAACTGAACTAGAACTGAACTAGAACTGAACTAGAACTGAACTAGAACTGAACTAGAACTGAACTAGAACTGAACTAGAACTGAACTAGAACTGAACTAGAACTGAACTAGAACTGAACTAGAACTGAACTAGAACTGAACTAGAACTGAACTAGAACTGAACTAGAACTGAACTAGAACTGAACTAGAACTGAACTAGAACTGAACTAGAAGTGAACTAGAAAAATACAGACCAACTTCGTTAGAGTTAGATTATAAACTTGTTTAAAGGAAATTGCGAAAGCTGTAGTTAAAGCTTTAGTTAAAGCTTTATTGCTATTAAAGCTTTTAACTATATATCATTAGGGAGTTACAAGTGATCTCTCTGGCTCGATTTTTTTGTTGTTTGTGTATTTATTAGATTCCCAGCGGTTCGAAACAGAGTCAAAGCTTTTACAGTTTTTTTTGAAACAGATATCGGTGTGAAAAAATGGATTTTTAAATGATTTAATTTGTAAGCGATATCTTTACCTATATCAGGTTTAATCTTCGGTTCCATTTGTATATTGATTGAAATTTCTGCAGAAGTCCATTTTAAATCTATTTCAGTTTGTTTAGAATAAATGGTTATGGTAGGAAGCCGAGCGTTTTGTTTTATTTGCTTTATCGTGTGATCGTATTGTTTGAGTTTATAGTATGTATAAGAACTTACTATATGTATAGATATACATTTTTTTCACGGGCGTGGGTGTTTTATTTTAATTAAAATTTTTTTATTATTTTTTTTTTATGTTATTGTGAAAGAAGCTTTATTTTTTGGAATATTCTAGAAGTTCTTATTCATAGATATATTTCAAATGTTTTGAATCAGATTTCTTTATAATTCTAAAGGAGATTTTTTCCCTTGTTAGATTAAGTTCCTAAAATTGTTGGCGGTTTGCTCTGGATTTTACATATCATGTTTGTGGTATGACTAAAGAGCCATCAATAGGTAAAACTTTTTGAAAAGGACAAATTTGTAGGATTCTGAATTATAGCGAACTATTTAAATGGCTTGAAATAGAAAACTATTTATAGCATTTAATAAGGAGTTTATCCTTAAAAAAGGATTTATAAAATATTTTAAAAAATTGCTTTAATATTGTAGCAGAGTAAATGATACTCTAAAAATAATAGCTGTGTTCAGGTTAAAATCCTGTTTCCCTTTAGTCCTAACTTTTTCAAGGCAAATTTTCTTTAGTTTTTTTTTTTTTGGAATAATTTAAAAAAATCCTTAGATTTTTATAAAACTTACCCTTTGACGCAATTCACGTTCAACTTCAAGATCATCTTGGAGTAAACGGATTTTATCCTGGAAAAACAAATATAATTACTGGAGTTATAAAAACCAAAAACACAAAATAAAAATTTTGTTTTTATTTAAAAAAAATCACATATTTAAAAAAATTTTTAAGACACTTGTATAGAAAATTTTTTTTTAAATTTTTCATTAAAAAAAGTTTCGAAATGATTACATAATAATTCCATTTAGAAAAAAATTATATATTTTTCATCATCATTTATGAATATTTTTGGTTCATTATATGTATAACACACACACACTTTTTTGTCTATATAAATATTTAAACAAATGTCTTGGTATGAGTTTTTGGCTGTCTGTAGTAGAGCTAGTGTGTGTGTGTGTGTTTGTTTGTTTGTCTGTGTGCATATATTTAATTTCAAAACTTTTGCACTCATTTCATAATATTTTTTCTGGCTTGCTGGTTTGGTTGGTTGATTTTCTTAAATTTTGTTCGAATTTATTCGTTGGCATTTTCATTTTATTGTTAGTTTTTCATTTTATTTTTCTTAGTTTTTGCTTTAGGTTTAAATTTAATTATTTTTCTTGCTGTTTTTTTTTTTTTTTATTTTTACCAAAAGGTGCGTTTTATTTTTGAATTTTCATTTTCTTTTGCAAAAATTTTCAATTTAGTTTTTCTTTGCTCTAGCACTTGTTTTAAAACACTTTTTTTTTGTGGCGATTTTACTTTATTTTATTACTTTGCTTTTACTGTATTTTCGCTCTAGGAAGTAGTTTTTTGTTTTTTAGTTTTCTTTTTTTTTTTTTTAATAAGGGCCCGTTTTGTTATCGGTTTAAGGTCTTACCTCAAGACGGGAAAGGGCGCTCAAATCGGCAGTGTATTCGATGTTGATATCAGCGGCACCTGGTCCAGTGGAGGTGGCTCTATAAGAGTATTTAGATGAACGTACAGCTTGTGATGAAGACATTTTATTTTATTTTCTTTATATTATTTATTTATTTAATTATATTAATTTAATATTTTTTTTTGTTAAAATTTTTGTGAAAAATAGTTCACTTCGTTTAAAATTTGAAAAAAAATTATTCCAAAATAATTTTTTTTTTTTATAATTTAATTGCTTCCTTTTCACACGCAACAGAAAAAGTCAAAAAAAGTAGTTGTCACCGAGTCACCGAATAATTCGTAATAAACGTCGGAGTAAGGCTGGTGATCTACTGAACAAGAGATCCCGGTGTCGTTCGAATAAAGAGTATTTCGTTGTATTGTCGTTATGACCAATGTTTTCGTCTATTTCTACCCAAAATTTTTTTGTTTTATTTTTCTTTTCGCTTTTTTTTTGTGCTTTTTGCTTTTGGTTTTGGTTTTTCCTCACACACAAATTTTCTTTAATTTTTCTTTAAATTTACGAAATACACACTCTTTTTTGAGGAGTATCTCTATGTGTATTAGTATTTGAGTGTGTTTTTGTTGTTGTTTCAATTTTCTTCTAATTCTAATGGATATTTTCACGCTTTTTCCTTCTCACACTTGGCGCATTTTTTGTTATATTCTTTAGTTATTTGTGTTAATTGCCGTTTCATTTAAAAGCAAAAAACAATAAAAAAAACTTTCAAAATTCTTTTGATTTCATTATTTTTTTCAATTTCTTTTGGATTTTGAGTTTGAGCAGCTTTTTCAAAAAAAAAAAAAAAAAAAACTTTTTCTTTGAGTGTTTTTACCTGTAATTAAGCGTGTAGCCAAAAAAACAACTTTTTCTTTAGATATTTTTTTTTTGGACTACGTGCTTGTAGAATTTAAACATTTTTTTTGTGAAAAATCTTTCAAATTCTTATTTTCCTTTGAACTTTTGGAAATAGATTGTTTTTGCTTCTTTTTGCTCTAGAAATATTTATGTTTACTTAAAACTGTTTCTTTAATTTTTTTATTTGTTTTTAATAATTCTAATAGAAAATTTTCGTTTTTGAATAGGAATGTCTTGTTGTTTTTGATTGATGATTTTTAAAGTTGTTTGATAAACAAATGTTTATGCACTTTTGTTTACAATAAGTGTTTGAGTTGCACTTAAGAAAAAATTTTTCAATTTATTAAAAATAATGTAAAAATAGTTTAAACAATTTTCAACAAATTCAGACAGACAGACAGGCAGATAGATAGACAGACAGAAAGACAGACAGACAGACATGCAGATAGACAGACATACATATAGATAGACAGGCAGATAGACAGACAGACAGACAGACAGACAGACAGACAGACAGACAGATAGACAGACATACAGATAGACAGACATACAGATATATAGACAGACAGATGGACAGACATACATATATATAGACAGACAGATAGACAGAAAACCAACCTATGGAACAATAACATGTCCGTGATTGACATGCTATTAAACCAGCCAGATGCACGAATGAACGATATGTCTATATTAGATAGAGCCGCAAGTTCATGTAATATTGGACTGCCAAGAAACTCAGACCAGATATTTGCCAAGGCAGGGCAGAGACAGAGAAAGTGTTCTACGGTTTCCTCTTCATCATCACTTTGACAACGCCTGCAATAGTCATTGTATGGAAGATTTAGTCTTCTTGCATGCGCACCTATAGTATAGTGTCCTGTTAGGATGGCTACCAGTATACGTGGTCTCAACCTGGAAAGCCCCATCAAACAAATAGACCTTCGATCATCATAGAGAGGCCAGATAATTCTTGATGTTGCGCAGTGGGTCAGTGATAAGGGCTGTTGGAGAAGGGCTTTACAGTATGACAGTGGGACGCTACAATAGTTGTTTAGCCTAAAACACACTCGATATTCTCGGGGATGTAAGTCGTATTCCCCAGGATAGAAGCATGATCATGTCGGTTTGGCTTCCATATCCCGGCAGCATTAAGTCTAACTGCCAAGTTTAAGGCCAATTGCCTGGCCATCAGATCAGCGGGCTATCTTTTCATCGGTTCCAATAAAAATATACTTTACCTAGTCCAACTACTATCGATGGCGAAAGCTTCGCTTTAGATTAGAGTATACAAAATTGGCTTAATTCGTTCTTGAGATAAGCAGTTCTTTTGGCACAGAGTCCATGGTTTGCTAGAAGGATGGGTAAATTTCATAGCATTGACTGAATTTATGTTTTGTATACATATTTAGTACTAATAAGCATTTTAATGAATGGAAATGACAAAACTAATATTGGTAGAAACACAACCACTGTCGAAGGCCGGCCAATCACATTACTGAGATGTTCGTGTTGTTTCGGAAACAGCTCTTAGAGGCATATTTGGTTAGCGAAGGTACAAGACCAAGGAGGGTTTCCTCAAAATGTCACCAAGTTATATCAGTCCCAGTCGAGGATTGTAAAGATCATGAGCGGAATGACAGTCAATTACTAAGTGTTAAGCTGACAATTTCTCGCAACCAGTGAGCAACATTATCACTCAGAGAAAGCAACACTACCGAAAGTCTTATCAAAAGTATGAGCGATAGTTGAAATAATGGACCGATTTCAACCAATTTCGTCTTGGATCAAGAGACGAAATTGCGACCTGTAGCGAGATCACAAGGTTTACATGGACATACAGATGAACGGAGGGACAGAAGGACATAGTTTAATAGTTTCAGAAATTGATTCTGACTGGTATAGTTGACTGGTATAGCTGCGTGCATTTGTGCTGTAGGTATGATAGCCAAATAATTTAACAAGTAAAAAGTTAGAGTCGGGCGAGGCGGACCTATAATATCCAATACCAGTTATAACAAGTAAGAAGTATAATACCCTACGCCAGTTATAAAAATAAAATGTGATTTAGTCTTCTTAATAAAGCATTTAAGTTGAATTGTACTTTGTCTCAGTTATACTTTAGCCAGTTTTTGTTGAATAAAATTGTATACATTTAAGTTATATTTCGACTGGGGTCTTTGTATAGGGGCTAGGGTCAAATGAGGTCCTATCATCAAAAAATTCATCAGAGTCATGAAGGTTAGTATAGAACTTGGTTTTGCAGCTTTTTATCGAGATACGAGTATATTGAACATAATTATGAACTTAAAAGCCCTATTCGGGGGGTTAAGTTGTATGGGGGCTAGGTCAAATATTGGACCGATGTTAACCATTTTCAATAGGATATGTCTCTAGTACAATAGAAGATCATTGGCAAAATTCCATTGAATTACATATGTATGTATGTATGTTCAATATTGCGACCTGTACTTTAATTACAAGCCCTTTTCGGGGGGCCAGGTGAAATATTGGACTGATCACAACCAATATGCTTTGTCAATGAGACAATAGAAGATCATGTACCAAATTTCATTGAATTATCTTCAAAAATGCTACCTGTAGTTTGATTATAAGGTTTACATGGACGGACGGACATACGGATAGACAGACATACGGATAGACAGACAGACAGACAGACAGACAGACAGACAGACAGACAGACAGACAGACAGACAGACAGACAGACAGACAGACATACAGACAGACAGACAGACAGGCAGGCAGACAGACGGATATACGGACGGACAGGTGGACGAACAGGCGGACGGATGTAAATCGTCTCAGAAAATGATTTCAAGCCGATTGGTTTACTTTAAAAATGCGAACTATAGTGGATGTATACATTTATAGGAAAGAGTTACTAAATACTAAAAGGTACTAAGTAGAGAAAAGTTATGGGACATCATCTCTATATAACCAATTTTCTATATAGAGTAGTTTTAGTATAAAAATGTCTATATAGAAAAGTTTTCGGATATAACACAACTAATACAATAGAGCATTTTACTACAACCTCCTCCCGTAAAATATACTTTATAGCCGATACAATGTGATTTATTTTCGCTCGGTACTTTGACATCGGAATTTTTATTGAAATTTGGCGGAAAAAGAATTATATATCTCATATATATTTAATCAATATGAAAGATAAAATGAAGTCATGCAAAAATTCAATTTCATTGAATCACATAAAATATTTTTTTTTTCACACAAATATTTCATTGAAGACAATAAATACCCTCAACCAAACAAAATACGTCCAAATAACATATTGACCATATTTTTTTTATTTGCCATTTCTTTGTTGTTGGTCTACAGTTTCAGACATTTGTCTAGAAATAAGCAAAAAATAAAATAGAAAAATAAAATTATTTCTTATTGTATTTTTCAGTTCAGTTTTCCAACATAATTATTTATGGGTCTACAATGAAAAATTATAATTTTCTATGTAGTTTTTTTTTTTTTTGTTTCGAAAATTATTTTTCTAAATGGATCGTTTGCTGATCCATACAAGTGTATCGGTACGTTTGTTTGTTGGTTTGAAGACGTGTGTTTTATTTTAACTTCAAAACACATTTTGCCATTTTTCAAAATCCTTGACAATGTGAAAAAAATAAAATACAAATATAAAATATAAAAAAGTATAAAATTAGAAAAAAAAACATATTACAACATCTTCTAAACATTTCACGTTGAAACAATGTTTTAAATAACCAACGTATTTTTTCTAAATTTTTATTGTTGTACACATTTTATAAATAAAAAATAAATTTTCTACAAAATTAACAATAATGTTTAGTGAAAATTATCGTAAATATTTTAGCAAGAAGTCAAATTAAATAAATTTTAAATAAATGATCAAATAACCCAGTGATAAACAAATGATTTTAGAAGAAAAATTTTAGAAAAAACTATCTTTACTCTATCGAAAAGTTTGCTGTTTAAGCTTTTATCTTTTTTTTTTCTAGAAAAGCTTTTGGTTCAAACTTTTCTTTGTAGAACAGTTTGTACTTTTCTGTATAGAAAAGTTTGTACTTTTTTTATATAAAAGTTTGTACTTTTCTGTATAGAAAAGTTTGTACTTTTCTGTATAGAAAAGTTTGTACTTTTCTGTATAGAAAAGTTTGTACTTTTCTGTATAGAAAAGTTTGTACTTTTCTGTATAGAAAAGTTTGTACTTTTCTGTATAGAAAAGTTTGTACTTTTCTGTATAGAAAAGTTTGTACTTTTCTGTATAGAAAAGTTTGTACTTTTCTGTATAGAAAAGTTTGTACTTTTCTGTGTAGAAAAGTTTGTACTTTTCTGTATAGAAAAGTTTGTACTTTTCTGTATAGAAAAGTTTGTACTTTTCTGTATAGAAAAGTTTGTACTTGTTTGTTTGTGCTTTTCTCTGTAGAAAAGTTTGTGTTTTTCTCTATAGAAAAGTTTGTGTTTTTCTCTATAGAAAAGTTTGCGTTTTTCTCTAAAGAAATGTTTGAGCTTTTCTCTATAGAAAAGTTTGTACTTTTCTCTATGG